TGGATTCGGGGGCCATGACGGTATCGCTTTTGAGTCCTGTTTACTCATTTATCGTACACCTTTTTTTTTGGGCCGACTGGCTATGAATTTGTCGCACATTAGCACTCGTACAGTCTTATTGGCTTTGTTCGTATTATTGAAACATCATAGCTTGAGAGAACCTGAATTTGCGAAAATCACGGCATCTCGCGTAATGATTTAACGTTAGCGAAATATGTGAATCACAACGGTCACTTAATTGCGCTATTTTTTTTTAAAACTAGTAATTGAATGTATTGTAGGAGGATTCCTTTTTTGTGACGAATTACATTGGAAGTGTCGTTTTGAAGGTGTATACGCAATTTTCCCTGTATATTTGCAGTTTTGTTGCGTTTAATTAATCCTATAAGCCTTCTTTACACATACATTTGCACCCTTTAGTGCATTTTACGAATTGTCTGCCAAATTGTGAACTTTTTTGTCTTTAACTAAACAATCCTCCCGTGCTAGACCAGTTAAGCTGCTTTTTTTGTTTTATTTTGTTTAGTTTTCGTTTTTCAAACATCCAGATTTGCATACCGTAATGCTTCTGGGCGGGGCTTCACACCTCATTCATTTTAAACTGTGTTTACTTTGGTGGGATGGTACTGTCAGTCATCATATGCCAATTTCAAACTGTTTCGTTGTTGTACAAATAGTAGACCTGCAAATTTACGATGGCATTTCTGAACACATGAACGTTTAAAGCTTTTGTACATACAGCTTTCATTTTAAAGGGCTTGGCCTAATCTAAGAAACACCTTTCTTTAGCCAACAGAAACACTACAACCAGTCATTTCGTACCCATTAAGTACCACAAAACATCAGAATATGTTGTACAGATGATAAAAATAGCATTGATATCCTGTTCTGCTGGTGTTCAAGGGGATTTTTGGTCATTCTCAACAATTTGTGATGAAGTTTGATATGTTTTTCCTCCCTGGGTTAATGCACTGAACCTACTCTGCAGTAATGGAACGAACTCCACACATGTGACGTATCTGTTCCTACAAACTTATTCCTGGTACTCTGAGAGATGCAGACACTAATGAATAGAAATGACGCTTTCGCTTGAGGTCCACATTGACGTGATGGATGCGTACAATATGAAGCTATCTTTACCTTTTTTTTTTTTTTCTGATGTCGATGCATTCATTACCTGAACACTTATATGTAGGACACTTTAATATAATACATTTGTTTTTGATAAAACGGCTAAAATAAACTTTTGTGTAGTGGTGTATAAAATCAAAGTATTGTATTACTTTGTAATGTATTTCTTGTTCGGTTGGTTGCTCTTTTTTTTTGTTTTTTTTGTTTTTTAAGCATACCAAATGTAAATGATGTACTATATTGAGTGTGCCAATCCCTTTGATTTGTAGAGCCAGACTCTTTACAAGTGCCAATGTTGTGGAAATCATTTAAAAAGGACTTGTGTATTTTATGGTCCGGTTTTTAAAAACAAATAAACAGAGTATGTCATGGTAAATGCGCAACAGGAAAAGGACAATTTTATTCTGTATTTAAGATTAAAAGATGACAAACTGCTGTTTTTAAAAGAAATGACATTTTAATTGCATGTGTTTGTTTTCGGTGGAGAGGGTCGGGTAAAGGAGAAACCGTATTAACGCGAAACCCTGCTGACAAGGGGCTTAATTATTGCTCATTTACAGTATTTTAGACATATTTCTCTTTTTGTATGTTTCATTTCAACCACTTTTGCCTGAACCTCATTCATACATGAAAATGACTTTCATAGCCTTCTCCTTTAAAGAAAAAAAATATCCATTTTAAATTGGAATAAAATTTGTTCCTATATGTTTGCGTCTGTGTTGCGCTTTTATTTATGCCTTTTATTACAAGAAAGATGAATAAGGTAGATGGTCCTCCTGGTGAAACATGATCTACATTAAGAGTCCCTGTAGTCATAATGATAATACATGACAAAATGATTCACACAGCACAGAAATCTTGTATAAATATAATGTAACTTCAGCAACAAAGGTGTCATTAAATCTAATTTCAGCATATTTATTAGATGGCTGTATGCTATATTTGATTTTGAGGTTTTATTTGAACATCACAAAGGTGAAGTAAATATTTCAAAAATCTTTGTTCATCATAACATAGTGCAGAATAATCCGATCAGACTTAAGTCATTTTTATTGATGCATATAATATTTATATCACATTATTTAAAGGGGTCATATGATGCGATTTCATTTTTTCCTTTCTCTTTGGAGTGTTACAAGCTCTTGGTGCATAAAGAAGATCTGTAAATTTGCAAAGACTAAAGTCTCAAATCCAAAGAGATATTCTTTATAAACAGTATGGTGAGGGGCGTAACATTTCCGTCTCACGCTTGAGGTATTCGGCCAATCACAACGCATTGGATATCTGGCCAATCAGAGCACACCTCGCTTTTCAGACCGATTAGTTTTGTAAAAATCGACGCGTTTCAGAAGGCGGGGCATAGAGGAGAAACAATAATGTACAGTATGTGGAAAATAATGTGTTTTTTTTTACTTTAAACCGCATAAACACATTTCATTACACCAAATACACAAAATAATGTTCTTTTTAGCAGCATCATATGACCCCTTTAAACGTTTGAATATATAGATAGATTAAATAATATTTTAGCTGTTTGTTGGTGCTGTTTTGATAGTTACATATTAAAATTATTTAATGTTAATATTTATGTAGATTAAAAACAAATAAAATTGTAGATATTAAAAATATCTTTAAATTACCTATATATGATTTTTTTAGATGATTTTAATTAAACATATACAAATATATGTATATTCAAGCTGTTTGCTGGTGGTGTTTTAAATTTATTAGAAATTAAAATTGTATAAAAATTATATTTATGTAAATGGATTTTTATAATATTTTATATTTTTATATATAAAATATTTTATATAATTGTATTTCTAACAATGTATTTCTAAATGATATTACGAGAAATTTATGAATGCATATATAACGTAATTTTACACGATAGAACAAAAATAAAATGAATTATTTTACGTATTTTACATAAACATTTGTATTATATATATATATATATATAAGAACATTTTGTACATTTTAAAGTTAAATTCATAAATCTGGTGCACTTTGAGATTTCAAAATTAAGAGCTTCAACACAGGTTCAGTCACAGTGTGCAAACTAAAAGAAAAAAAAGCTGGTAAATGTACTTGTTCTTGAAATTTAAAGGGGACTCGATCCTCTTTTTAGTTGTGATATAGTGTCTCAGTCTCACTGGTGAATTTGGAAGCCAAACAAATTAGAATAAAACAATAATAATAATAATTTTATATTATTATTCCTATGACAGTTATAGCCATATATTGTAAAACAATTGCACTGTGAAATAAATGAAAATTACTTTTTTTCAGGTATATTATTTTACCTTACTCTACAGTAGGGAAATTGCAATACTTTTGTCCTAATTTCTACACTTGCAAGCAGGGCCTAAAACTAACTTTCACATCTGCCAGTGGCTAATGACTTGAGAAAATTGACCGGCCATAAATATTTTTCCTTGCCATTAAACTGTTTTTGCAAAAAACGGGCAGTTGCTACTAGGGGTCGACTGATTATCGGCGCCGATATTAAGCATTTTTTATGATTATCGGTATCGGTCATTTTCAAAACCGATTCGCCGATAAAATAACTTA